AATTAAGGTCATGGGATTAATATCTGCACTTTGTGGACAATAATAGGCACGAATTTGACTTCTTCCATTAAAACTAAAGCACCTGTCTGAACTCATTGCCATAATTGTCTTAATCCTCTCTTCAATAATTATGTCCAATTCATAATGAATGTTATTATCACAATGAATCGTGTAATGGAATGATTAAAAAAATCACTTCGGAAATTCCATTCTCATTATTTTGTGAATATTCGAGAAACTATTGGATTTTGAGAGAATATCAGAGTTTATTTTTCATCACTTGTGCGTAAAGTAAAATTTTACGCACGTTCCCTGTGCGCGAAATCTCGCTTTTCGTACGTTCTGGTGAAAAATATGATTTGACACGTGGGAAAAGTGTTTTTTTCGCGAGCGCTGCACACCGCACCGAGAGAAAAAATTAGCTCCACCGAAAAACTGTATCGTCGCTTTGCGTGCCTAAAACGTTACTTTTCCACACATTGTGATGAAAAATATCGTTCGAACCTGGCTGAAGGCCCGGGGGTGATAGCCAGTTGCAAGTCCTCGAACTAAAACTGGATTAATTTTTGAATTAATTTTATTCATTAATTAAAAATCGAAGGCAGAATTTTCATAGATGATTTTTATGCATTTTTCATCTCAATGAATGATTTCAGAAATGAATGTGAAAAAATGTCTCTCGTCGGACTTTCTAATCTCACAAAACAGGCCTTTTAAGCTCCTTCTTTGAAACCACTCATCATCAAGATGAGTCATAATTCAGCACTCGGATTCTGCTAAAGTGAATAGAGCCAAATAATGAGTCCACTCATTCCAATTTTCATTCAACTTTGTTAATGTTCATTTATTTCAATAACACAAAACAACTTTTTTCAATCTCAAGTTGATACTTCCGAAACTTTCAAGTTGAGATTTTCAAGTTTCAACTCAAGTCTTTCGGGAGTCTCAGCTTAAGACTTTCAGGGTTCAAATCAAGATTCTATTTTAATCATATATTGAGACATGAAAAACTTTATTTGAAATAATCGATCTCTTGAATCAAGCTTTATCAAAAATTCCAATTGTTTTAAAAAAAATCTCGTTTCACGACCTTTGAAATCTTGAAACAAGGCATTATTTTGGGTGCACCAGTGATTGTATAATAAAACTTAACAACATTCTCTTCAGGACAAGAAATTTCTTACAAAAATGTCTTACGACACATTTCTCCAACTCCACTACTCTCAAAAATATCAACGAAACAAAAAGAATGGATTTTTCCGGAATCATCTCCCTTCATCCTTCCCTACCGAATTTACAAACAAATAATTCCATTACCCAGTAATTACCCCAATTACAATAATAAACTATCAACGTCATACCTAAATACCGCCCACTGCGATAACAGCCTCAGGCCAATGAATTTCGTTTTACGTATTTACCCATTAATTAAACGTATTAAATACTCCTAATAATCCATAAGTACACGTATCTTAACAGCTAATTGGGACTGAGCCAGAGCCTTTAGAAAACATTCTCACGTGATAATAAAACTGGTACACTTGTTATCGAATACCTCATTCTGCTTTCGTCTCATCTCCTTTAAATAATACAAATGAGCCTTCGTATTCTTATTTCTCTCAATTCTTGTTTTTTCTTTAAATTAATTAGAGTTTGTGTACTTCGTTAAACTTCAGCGATGAATAACATCTGAATGCAGTTCACATTCACGCTGTGCGTGAGTACTTATCGGTCAAGTGTCCGTTAATTACGGCTGTACAATGTTGGTTCATGCTTGCATTGGTTCAAATGGGTTTGGGGGGGGGGGGTTAAATGGGGTTGAAAGGAGGGGCATGAGCGCTCCGATGACTCGGCATTATTCACACGTTGGCTATACGTATTATTAACGTATGTTCAAGCCGATCGTGCAGGTCAGATGTGTTAAATGGTTAATTTGGCGAATTTAGGGGAGAATTTTTTCTCCATTTGGCACAAAATTTCTTTCTCATTTGGCATTAATCGTAACGAGCTTAGGTCGTTTATTATTGAATTAAAAATGTACAGTATTGGGATTGATTTTTTCAGATGGTGTATTGATTTTATTTAGCTCCCTTTCAATTTATCTCAGCTTTGACGTTCATTAATTCTCCTTTGTTCATATATTTTTGGCACGTACTGCAGCTGCTGGGAATTTTAATGGAGTGGAAAATAAGAGAGAATCGGCGGGAGTGAGGCATCATATGATATCGTATAAAAATGGGGTGGAGGGAGTTGGAGATTGAAAGGAATTGGTTAATTGAGCCTTCGATCTAGAAGGTGAGTTGATGGGCTTTATTGATATTTAGAATTTCCCGGAGTTCGATGAGTGACGGGATAGGCCGGCGAGTTTATTATTATTTTCTCGCATTTGTTTCTGTGGAGGAGAGGTAGAAGATGGAAAATTCATTAAAGCCGAAATTCCAAGTTGATTAGTTTTTTTTGACATTTTTTTTAACCTATTTCGAAAACTCAGAATTTATCACGGTATTTTTAAAATACTGTGAATTAATTTTCCTCACTCATATCCAGGAGAACGTTTTTTTTATTAAATAAACGTGATTCGAATGGAAGGAATGAATTTATTTGAATAGCTCCGTATAATGTTTTTATTCAAACTCAAACTTGATTTTCAGTCACGATTTTTATTCACTTCAAATACACTTTTAAAAAATTTTGGCTGAAACTAGTGGTACTTTTCTAAAATTTTTATCACATTTTAGTTACACCGAAATTTCAAGGAAGTTCATCATTGAAAATTTACACTTTCATGGCGAAATGAATGAGAACTGTAAATTTCAGTTGAATTATTCCTTGAAAATTAGTAGAAACTTGGAAAATTCAGGGAAATATGTAGTTGAAAATTCATGGTAATTCGGCAATAAATGGGTTGACCAATTCTCATCTCAATGCTGTTAAAAAATTTGGGATTTCATTGAATTTTCAGTGAAATTTGAAGTTTCATGAATTTTCTCCTCTTGAAACGTATTCATTGTCACTCCCCTGACAATTACTAGTCAACTGTCCATGAAATTTCAATTTTTTTCAGCAGTCTGAATTTTATAATATTTGGTTAATAAATAACTCTTTTTCCACATAAATAAATATTTCATTTATGGAAATAAATATTTTATCAGTCGTTCCGACAGTGACGAGAATGAATTTATTAATATGCAATAATCCTTTAAATCAATTAAATGACTGGTTAATTTACTTTTAATAGAGGATTTATCTGGAAGTGGTGAATTATTTATTGCATATCAAACATTTCCATTGAAATAAATAGGAGTTTATTAGTATCTAAAAAAATTCTTGTCGAAATGAATGGAAGAAATTCAAATAAAGAGTTCCGTTCCATTCGAATAATCGGCTCAGACAAAAAAGTCAAAAGATGCTTCCTAAAATTCTCCATCGTCTGATATTTCTTCCTACACGGAGAGAATATAAAATTAAAAATAACTATGTGAACATAGTAATCGAGGACCATCCCAGAAAACCATTAAAATTTTATTTATTGTCACTGAATATTTGCGATATGAAACTCATTTTTTACCGTTTAACATAGTCATTTTTAATGGACAAATTTGTATAAAATGCGCGGACAAGAAAATAATTTTCAAAAGTGTTAAAAACTCTAAATTTTTTAAGACAATTGTTACTATTGAACGGCGAGAAACTACTCGAATCGTATGAATGTTTACTATGTTACCTGGTAATTTTTTCATTCGATTCAAAACTTTAGTTTATACTCTCGCGTCTCCTACATTTTACTCGAGGAATCAGCAGAAATTATTATACTATGTTAACTAGTAAAAACTCCAGCGGATGACGAGAGCATCAATTATTTTCAATTCTTGAAATCTCCTCCCTCCGTCGACCACGTAATGGCCCAATTAGCGGATTCTATAATTCGAAAAAAATCAATTCGTCCTGTTCCCCCATTTCTTCTTCAGATTGAAGATACATGGAGCAAATTATTGATAATATTTTTCAAAAATGGAGAAGAAGATCAAATATGATTTTTCACTTCGGTTATTCAAAAAATCGCCCTGTCCCTCGTCCTCTTTCGCGGATATTCATTTTAGACTGGAGAGCAATATTTTTTTAACCGACGAAGTAAAAATTCATGTTTATCTTCCTAAATTTTAGTCGCGTCAACTTTTTCTACTCTACCGACCCGCAATTTTCCGTATGTTAAACAGTAATTTTCCCGACGGACATTACATTTTAATTTTGTCAGTAGTATTTTTTCATCCCGCTCGTCGCAGTTTTTCATTTGTTCTCAAAATTACTAGGTTCAATAGTAAATTTTCTAGCGTGGCGGGTATGGTCCTGCACTCTTTTCCTCATATTAAGAATTGCTATCTCCCCACAGTAAAAAACAATTTTACATTCTTTCCGCGCAAGCCCAGCAATTTTCCACATATTCTCAAAATTCTTTAAACAGGATTGTTCGCTCATCTTTTGTTCTACCTCTCTTCCACGGAATTCACTCCACATTCCTCCCGGTTCCTTCAACTTTGACATTTATTGACACACAGTGAACACGTCGATACATTCCCAAATTGCTGAAAAAAGGACGAGAGAATGCACCTGGTTGACGCTTTAGAGCCACTCTCGTCTGGCTTGACGCGTCCCCTTTCTACTCTCGTTCCCATTTTTTTCTATTTATATTTTTCGTTCTGTTCCGACAGGGCGACTTCGCCCCTGTTTTTTCCTCCGGCACTCGAGACGCACGTTCCACTTGAGGAGTAGAGGAGAGACGCCTTGATACGAGACGGCAGAGTGGTGAAATAAAGGGGCGGTGAGAGGAGTTAAGGAAGAGCGGGAGAGGGAGGAGAGGGGGGATCCCGAAAGAAGTCCTTCTACGGTTAGGGTCCTCGAGGCAGAGAGGTGGCACGTCCACACCCGCGGAGAGACCGCTGACAGATCGATCGAGACTCCTAGGGGCTACGAATGTCTCTCCATGTGTCTCTGGCCTCCTACTACTGTATGGAGCACGCGAGTGGATGGGATAGAGCGTGATCCAGGAGTATCGGTGTACCTGCCGCCAGCTCTGATCTCGACTCCCCGCAGTCGTCGTCGAAGTCGAAGTAATTGCTCTGGAAAGATTTGTAGAGGTTTATTTTTCAAGGAAAATCAAGACGATTTATGGGGATAAGCTTGAGGCAATTAATCAATGGGTTTTTGCAATTGCGGGATTGAACATTTTTTGGTCATATTTTTGGGGCACTTTTTGGATATTTCTATCAAGTGACAGTACATTGTGAAAAACTTTCATCTGAATTTTCCGTGCCAAATTCCGGAAATTTCAGGAAATCTTGTCATTGAAAAATCAAATATTCCATTGATTTTTTGTTCAAATCATCTGGAAATCAATAAAATACTTGATTTTTCAGTTCAATTAATCTGTGAAAATTGAGAAAAATCATAAAAATTCGGGTAAAAATTGAACATTTATGTCATTTTGTTGCTGAATATTCATGCTCCATTGAAAATTCAATCAAGTTGTGAAATTTTCATCTTTCCATCACAAAAAATTTGATACTGGGGATTTCCGTCTTAATTTTTTTCTGAAAAGATGACGATTAGATGAAAATTTTGAAAAAAGAATAATTGAAAAATATGGATAATTAAGGGAGTTATAATTTTTTCAAAATTGTTAGTTTTTGTCCAAAAACGATTTTTTTCCAAATTGACCCCAATATCTGCATGGTTTCTAGCAATCAAATCGTCTTTTAGGCCCCTCAAAGAACATGAAAAACTTTTAACAATGAGACGTGATACAGAGAATTAGCTTGACGGGGATTATATGAGAAAATAGTTTCTTTCTTTCAATTATTAATTATTCAAAAAGCTAATTTTTTGTTAATCGTAAATTTTCACCAAAAATTGTCAATAAAATTTCGAGAATTTTTTGTCTGTGATTATTGAATAGCCGAAACGACAAACTACTATCCCTCGTTTCATATAAAACGAGCATTTGCCAGGAGCACCGAATAACAAAGAAGTAGTGCTAGAGACGACATTTCTTGGTTACACAGAATAAAATTAATTTGAAATGACTAAATCTGTTTTTGTTATAAAAATTGTCAATATCGACACACGTTTCGCATCTTTGACACAAAGGAATATTTTTTTGATAATTCAGTAGCGAAGTGGTCAAACGGTTTAAGTCAATTTGGTCTTTAGTTGAGTTTTTCAGAAATATTTCCGAATTGAAGGGAGATAGCGAAATTTTCATAATAACCTTTTTTGTAGATCGAATTGAGTGCTACTAAAAAGGTTATGAGAAAAATTTTGCTATCTCCCTTAGATTTCGAGATATTCATTGAAAATTGGTCAATAGCCAAAATCGACTTAAACCGGTTGACCACTTGGCTACTGAGTTTTAAACAAACTATTTTTTTGGCACAAGTCAAACTTGTTTGAAAACTCCTGTTTTTCTCTTAGTACAATCCTGGATTTTCAATCGCTCAACAATTTAATGTTACTCGGTACTGAATCTATAGGTTTTGATTGTAAATAAATAAAAGTAGTTTGCGAAATCCCGTCTTTCTGATGCTCAATAATTTGGTAATTCAAGTCCCTTGAATTCTCGATTGTAACAGCATTTTTTGGATGGGATAGAATGGTGTGTTTCTTTCAGGCCTAGCAGAAATCCGATCTCACGATCAATTCCCTGCGGATTTGTCGTGGGAGATTACACATTACGACGATAGTCACTTCGAGGAGCGCAGCAGGCTCGCCGATGACTGCTGTCGCGCTGCAGAGGGTTAATCCCCTATTGTTCTTCCCACAGACGTGAGAAGCGACATTGATGCGGGGTGCACACACAGAAAAACCTAAACGTAAATTACGTTTTGCTAAGCGTAATTTAATTAATCCCGCAAGCTTGCAGGTTAAAAATCCCGAATACGCAGTTTCTCTCAGATCATCTCGCATGTTATAGTATTAATGGAGATTGAGATTTGAAGGTTTGTCTGCCAAGCTTGAGGTGATGAGTCAAAGTGTAATGTAGATGATTAATGTTGGATGACTATCAGTTGGAAATGAATTGAATAATGGAGTGGCGAGAGCAGAATAGAACAGGAGAATGGGACAGAATAGAGCAGGCGACAAGGTGAGAAGTAATGGGTTTGAGATTATTTTACAAATATCTCCCGAAACAAGATGAACGTCGCTCTTGATGACTTAAACAAAGAACCGTTTTTAGATAATTCAATCGACGAGACGAAAGGTTCACCCATATTTTTGTTTTGAATTCAAGACTCTTCTAAATTTTCAGGGAATTCCGTCAACAATTACTGGAATTCCAAAAAAAATTGAAGGAATTCCCTGAAAATTCCAGGGAGTTTGGAAGTTAATATTCATTTTCACTTGAAAGTTCATATCAATTGTGGAATTACCAGCAATTTGTTGCTAAAAAATGGAACTTCACGTGAATTTTTTGATAAACTTGAAATTCCATTGACTTTTTTTCCTCAAATCTAATTCAAGGGCTTGTTCGGAAAAATTCAACCAAATTTTTTTAATCGTATTCGATGAATGAAAAATTACTCGGGAAGTCCTCTTTGAAAAAATCACGTTTTATAATACTCCGGATTATTTTCGTTTCTCAGAATAAGTACTTTCTTCTCTTCATCCATTAAATTTAAAGGATTAAAAATGTTGAAGCCTTAACAAATTCTCTCTGACTTGATAAACTTCTCTGAAAATTCCCAGGACGACCATTACGAGGGAATAGTAAACACACGAAGGATTTTACACAGCGGAGTATACCCAAGGCGAATGGCCCACTATATTCCGAAGATCGAGTAAGGATTTCAGTCGGGACGTAACTGTGGCTCTGAGCACTTGTAGAAGTCCGAACGGAAAACGGTTACTCGAACGGTTAATTCGATTGCCATCGAGTTATCGACGTCGATCCATCGTGTGTGTACTAATGTACACTCGAGCGTAAGTGTGCACAGGTACGTCCAACTTACTCAGGATTGAATTGGGTAAAGGCAGGACAGTTGGACCAACACTTGTCGAGAAACTTCGAGTAGCAGGGGGTGCTTGACAACAAATGGGCAATTCGATTTTGACGGGAATTCAGTTACGCAGTTGAGGCAAATGAAATAAAGTCGAGAGGAAGTAAACAGTGGAGTTGAGGGCATTGTGGGCTGTAATTACCCGCAAATTCTTGTGATTGAAATTGATTAATTGCGAGAATTCCGAGGAAATTCAATGAGATATTCTGTCAATACAGGAAGAAAACAAGTTCTCGGGGAAATGTCCCTAATTTCTAGGAACTCGCGGTCTCGAAATTTAACCCTAGGTTTAACACCTCAACCAATTGAAACTTCTGCATAATTTGCTAATAAATGAATGGATTGTTAGGGATTGTTAATGATTGGAGTTGTTAATGAATGAATGAATTTAAGGCAGTCTAGGGAATCTCGGCTTTCTGCGGCTCAAAAATTAGGAGTTTCCTGTTCCTGTTTCTCCAAAATTGCGATTGCGAAACTTAAGAGTACTGACACTAAACAAGGGAAAAAATGCCTCCATTGAATCAAGGATATTTTATACTAGAATCAAGAATAAAATGTAATGAATTCAATCAATCCACATGTCATACATGATGTACATGTACGAAATATTTTCACTCATCTACGCTGAGAATAACATATAATTCTGCCAACCAAATTTATTTCAGACAAGAAGTTATAATGAAATTTTGTCTGAAATAAATGTGGTTGGCAGCATTATCTTTTTTTCTCAGTGTATCATTCGTGAAGAATTCATTTTTAAGGAAAGGATATCCTAACTTGGAATCTTGAAGAAAGGATATCTTTTACAGTTTGATGCAGGCTACAGGATAGATTCAACAATTTTCAATCATCAACTTGGTCAATTAAAATTGACGAATTATTAAACAATTAAATTGTGTAAGAGAAATTTGCAAAAAATCATGAATAATCAGCGTTATTTTTGAACATTTGTTGTTTACACATAAATAATTGAAATTGTTTACTATTTTATTGTTTATTGTTTGTTTGTTTGTTATTGTTTATTTGTATTGTTGTTTGTTAACCTTATGTTTTTATGCATGAAATCGATTTCTGGTAAAATTCTGAATATGAATAAATTTTTTACGATTCTGCACAAATGATTTTTATGATGTAAAATTGATTGATAAATTATTTATAGAAAATACTTGTAATTTTCAAAAATTTCAATTTTGAATTATTTCATCAATCTCCCTCCAAAGGCAAACTTTCTAATTTTTTTTTCAGATATTTAAAATGTTTTCCAACGGTGCAATAATCGAGATTGCAATTCACATCTGCAAAGTTTGAATAATAAAATCATTGTAAAATGTCCGGAAACTTAGGGTCAAATGAAAGCTTCTGATGTTCGACTACAAAATTAGAAAAGCATGACTGGAGAAAAATTGTCAAAGTATTGCAGTGAGTTTTTCATAAAGAATGTCTATTTTCCCCTTTAGAATGCATTCTTCAGAATGTATTCCAGCTATGCATTCATTTCTTTTCGATCTGAACATCGCCTCTGCAGCTAGTATTGCTTTTGTTTTATTATTCCCCTTTTTCTCGTTTTATTGTACTGACGGTTTTCATTTTCTATTGTCCCTATTCATTTTAATAAACGTCTTTTAATACCCATGCGCGTTTCAATAATGATTGATCGCAAGAGATCCGATAATTAAAAGAGAGAGAAAGAGACAATGAATGAAGGACAAATCAATTCGCAACCCAAAGCGAGAAAATTCAAAATAAAAAAAAGAGGTGTCCGTGTTGGAATTGGGGAGGCGTAATAAAGAGATAAATCACTTGGCAGTCGATGCATCGGCAGCTGTCGGTGAGGGAACACGTGAGACCGAGTATCTCGACAGCCTCCTTGTAAAGCTCGGTACTCGATTTTCTCTGTCTGGGTGGTGGACTTGGTGTGCCGATGGACCTACTCGTTGTTGTATTTCTTCTGGAATTTTTCGATCGCGATGTGGATTCCCTCGTCAATGAGGACGTCGAGGTTGGACCCCTACGCCGCCTGTGGTTATCGGCTGTTACTAGTGCACGGCCAGCTGGTGATGCGAATAGTTGTAGCATGTCCATGTCCTTGAACAGAGAATTTTTCACTTCAATTCTACAAAATCAAATAATAATATTGATCAATATGCATGCTAATGTCAGTTTGATACTAAACGATTTTGCATTTTGAAGAAAATTTCTTTGTAGAATAGTACATTCGAGTATTACGAGTGCGTAGAAGTGTCTCTCATCACTCGCCCGTAAAGTGCATTCTTGCGCTCGCACCGCGTGCGCAAAATCAAAATTTCCACACTGCCATTGCGATGAAAAATAGGGTTCGACACTGGTGGGAAAAGTGTTCTTTGACCCAAAGGTTTAATCAGTGTACACTGATCGACAAAAATTTTCTTATTGAGATGTTTCTCTCTTGGAGCAAGAATTATATACTTGAACCAATTTCAAATGAATAAGATCTTACGGTGAATATCAATTATTTCTTCTTGAGATACATTTACTTGAATGAAATAAAACATTCCTTAGCGTCAAATCACATGTATTCACCACAGAAATGGAAAAGTTATATTTTTTTTAACCGAATATAATCTCCAGTCGAGAAATTTTCTACTTTCATGAATTGATCAAAAAGTCGTACCTAGGAGATATATTGAGCTTTCCGTACATCACATTGAACGAAATTTGTGATATCCAAGTTTGTGTTGAATTACCGTCATCTGTGATTCTGTTATTGTAATCTAATGCGGTTTTTTTTAGTCAAGAAATATAAACTTCTTTCAACTCAACGATATCTTACTACAATCTCAAAGCTTTTGCCGCGTAAGAATATTCATCCTGATTCGACATACGAAATGCTTCAATTATAATTTACTTGGAACAATGTATGCTCGTGTTGATTGAGACAACAGCGTATTTAGTCATGAGAAGAATTTTCATTTTTGAGTAAACCAACGAATTTCTGGAATTGGCAAACTTTTGGGTAGAAAGAAATCAAATACTCGCATTGTTGCGACAAATAAAAGGAACTTCAATTCTAGAGAAGTTCGATTTCTCCCAACCAAATGTATCTCAAGAAGAGATAACTGATATTCACTATGAAATCATGTTTATTTGAAAATCAACAACCAAATGATAGTTGGTTCAAACAAAATTCTCTTGATTAAATTTATTTTTTTCTGTCAGTGTATAGCCGGGATTTAATCAGGATTGATTCAGGATTTAGCCAGAGTTTAACCCAGATTCTGGCAGAAGGTAGTCGGGAACATCAATGGATATGAATAAGTATTCAATATAATAGATTAATATCTGAGTTTAATGGAGATGGAGATTTTGAGCCTAATATTCTGACCTTTATTTTTAAACTCCACTTTTGGACCCTTACATTCTGACACCTAGTGCCTGACCCTTACGTTACACTTAACCCTTAAGTGGTCACAGCTCTCCACCGAACATATTTGGTCGCACGGTAAGAATCCCCGCCCCGTGTATTTTACGATTTCGAGAAAAAAAAGTTGAACAAAAAAAATTTATTCCATATACAGAGGTAATTTTGAACTTTCAATGAATAGGAAACGGGGATATACAAAACGGGGGATAGGAAACGGAGGAAGCGAAATAGTTGTCAGATAAACCCAGGGCGAAATTATAACATTTTGAGGTTAAACGTGGGGATTTTCAGCGAGTCGAGTTTTCAGAACCTTTTAATAATGCATTGGTGTACGTCTGGATAGAAAAAAAGATGTTGATGTGTTTCATATATTTGAAAATAGGAATACAAATTTTTATGGATTTTTCATTCACTAAGTTTTTGTGTAAAAAGAAAAAATCAAAAGCCGGCGAGGATTCCTCATTATGCAACCACTTAAGGGTTAAGGGGACTTGACACAACCCGGCCTGATACAAAACAATCATCTTCGAATTGAAATACCCATCCTCCAATTGAGTATAAAAAATTGAGTATACTTGATTCAAGTATATTTTACACTCAATTCAAGTATATTTTACACTCAATTCAAGTATATTTTTTCCGTGTATCTAGAAATTGCATATTCGGATTTTTTAGACCATACTTACTTCCCCTAGCACGAAAAACCGGAACCTTCAATTTGAGTGATTACAAAGCTTCCATTCGGGAGTAAAAAGAGTAAAAGACCCAGAATTTCTCTCTATAAAAAATTCCCTCACTAATTACTTGAATTTTTCAGCAAATTTTTTCTCAACTTTTCCTTCGTGTGCTAAGCTAAAATGCATTAACTTCTTTTAAAATTTAATGGTCAACGCTGTAAGCTATTCACGGGTCGCATTTACGACCGCCACATTGAATCAATTTTTTTCCCCGATAAACCCCTTTCAATTGAAATTTATTGGACCCGTTCCTTAAACAAAAGATCTATGGCTATTGTTCGAACACCATCGGCATTTCCCCAGATTCATTTTCCCTGATACGTTAAACTTGGATGAGTTTAGTTGTTACGAAGCAACGGCGAGACAACTGAAAACCCCTAGTTGAGTCACGGAGGCGTACGTAACGGTTATATGGTCCGCACGGGGACGATCGTGTCGAGCAAGCGAAGCGGAAGACCGAACGATAACCGCGCGACGGCTCGAGTTTCCGGTCGGTCCTTCCAGAGCCGTAGAGTTGAGCCCTCTCCCCTGTCACAGCTGTACGACAACCGCCTCAAAATGGCCATCTGAGACTATCGCCCGATGGTTTCGGTACTCGGGGCGTCTTGGCTATCGAAGATGTTTACTGGCGATTGGGGTGACCTCGATTTTACCGATGTTTTGTTGGGGAACTGTTGAGGGATTTTATCATTTTTCGATCATTGTTGAAGAGTAATAATGGAGGGGAAATTGGGAGAGTTGGGGATGTGGAGATACTTGATGGGTTTTGGAGGAACGATTTTTTTATGAATTCTTTGGGAAAGATTTCTTTGGACGGTGGCATGCCTTTTCAACTAGGCGACATTTCAACTACGACACTTTAACTACGATATTTCAACTAGTGTCAATTGAACTGATCAGTTTTAACGAGGCATGGGCGATGTTTTAAAAAACATCGATTATTGAAGAATTAATGTTTTTCCAAAACATCGATGTTGTGAATTGATCTTTCAGGAAAAAAACATCGATTACTTAAAAATTTATGTTTTTCTCATTACACAGAAGAGAGAAAAATTGTTAAAAATAATTTTTTTTCTTCTTGTTTTTATTGAAAAATATATGGGGTATTCCATGTGAACTCACCCCGGTTAAAACCCTCACCATTGCCAATCATATTGCCGATTTTTCCTGTGGTTGTATATGGAAAAATATGACTTCTCACATTTTTTCAGATTTTTTGAGGCATCCTGTGGGCAGCCATGTTTTTTTGCAAGTTTTATCTCCAAATGCCTGTAACTTCCGTAAAAATCAACCGATTTGAGTTTTTTTTTACAAAATGTGCAAAAAATTTGACAAGTCATATTTTTCCATATACAACCACAGGAAAAATCGGCAATATGATTGGCCATGGTGAGGGTTTTGACCTGGGTGAGTTCACATGGAATACCCCATATATATAAAAATACAATCCGAAGAACTTACGTTTCCACGATAAGTACTGCTAGAGAGTTGAATTTTGAAACTCGAAGCGGGATTTTTGATTAATTTAAAAATTAAATTGAATGGGAGGATAGGGCAAAACGGACCTCTAGGGCAAAACGGACCACTGACGGTAAATTGGTAATTTTTTTTTTATTTCCTTCAAATCAGGAACACAACGTGTTGAATTAGAAGTGAGTTTTTTGGATCGTAACCATCACAGGAGTTTTATAGACAACAAATGTCGTTGAACCGCAATTTGATCAGATTTGCTAATTATCTCAAACCACAAATGACTGAATTTTTATTTTTGCATTCATTCGGAAGCAAAAACAAAAATAAAATAAAAATAATCGAGTTTCTGTCAGTGGTCCGTTTTACCCTGCGGTCCGTTTTGCCCTACCCTCCCCAATATTTTCCGTTAACTGTAATAATTGTTAAAAATTTAAATTAAAAAAAAACAATTGAGCGGACTTATTCACTTATCATTTGAATATCTTATCAAATGAATAATTTTGTTAGCTTGGTCAGAAACATCGGTGTTTGCAAAAAAGAATCGAAAATCGATTAATCGACAAACATCGGCCATCCCTAATTTTAACTACGATGTTTCAACTACGACATTTGAACTGAAATTTTCAACTACAACGTATCAACTCCTTTTTGTGAAATTACCATATTTTCAGGAATTGGCCGAAATTTTTTCAATTTTAATTTTTTTAAATTCTTTGCTTTTCAACAGACAACGTAATGCAACTCAATTTAACTACTGAACTAATATATTAATGATTAATATCATATAAACATTTAATTTGTTTTTATATTAACAATTACAAGAGATCAATAATTCAGCATCAATAGTTTTTTTTTTTTTTTTTTTATGCTTATTTTATATCGCTTCGAGTCTGATGAGACTATATGGCGATTGATCAAGACTTTAAAAATGGTTAGATCTCACCATTCTACCCGGCCAGGAATCGAACCTGGAACCTATCCGTTGTGAGGCAACGGCCTTAACCACTACGCCAGGCCACCGGGCAATATAGTTTATTTTAAAGGATTTTCCATGTTTTAATATTTTGTTTGAATTGTTGACGTTTTGATAGATTTGGGGAATCCAGTCTTTTCAACTAGGCTACATTTTAACTACGACGTTTCAATTAACGACAATAATTAATAATAATTTCATCCATTTAGCGTGTATTTAAATCTGAGCAGTTGAAATGGGGTAATTGATGTGAGATAAGTTAAAAAAGTGTTAGTTAAAAATCGTTAGTGGAAATGTCGTATTTGAAATGTCGAAATAAATTCTGACACTTAGTGCCTGACCCTTACATTACCCTTGAGCGGGCTTAAGTACAATCCGGTCTAATACGAAAGAATCATCCTCATTTTGAAATACTCCATTATAGTATAAAATATGCTTGAATAAAGTATATCTTATACTCGAATCAAAAATAATATACTTGATTCTCATATAAAATATCCTCAATTCAGTTTTTTTGTAGATGGAAGCACACACAGTGAATAATGTTAAAACGCAGCTCGAGACTATTTTCCACAGTCGCATCGGTGTTTTCTTTCTTCATTTTTTGAAATTTTAATTTGAGAGCGAATCGATTATCCGAATGCGGGAGAAAATATTACAAGTGCATTGAACTGGTATTCATCAGCCGAACCAATACCATTTGTTCGAGAACCAGTACCACGTGAGTATATGGACATTGCACGCCTGGGGAATGCCGTACAATCCGAACCAGACTCCATCACTAATTGCACACGGGGATAAAAGCCTCTTTCTTGCTTACTACTGCGTTTCTCACTTCACTCTTCAATTACCCCAATTTTTAGCCCCCTTTCCCATGGATTCCCTTCATTTTAGTTATCCTCCGAGGTGCTGCTCTTTTCAGAGGTATATTGAATGGAAGGAACACGACATTTCCCAGTCTATATCACCTTTCATTCTGTTTTAAACTCCGACAACCAGTTCGTAAGTGAAATATTCATCTCCAAATTGTAATAACTGTCTTCTGTCAGTCACTTTAGGTGCATATGGATGCATACGATGGGGAATTTACAAAAAAAAAAGAAAAAATCGAATTTTTATAAGTACGTCACATTTTATTTTCTTCATTTTTTTCATCATTCTCACAATGAAAACAAGCATTTTATGCCATATTAGAAGTTGGGCAATGTGATAAATCGATTTTATTGGTATTTTTCGTGTAGAATTCAGTAATTTTTGTTGAAAATTTTCAGGAAGTCGTCGGATAATATTAATTATCTTTCTGAAAAATATCTATTGAAATACCTCACTTTTTTCAGATTAATAACTGACGTTATCTGAAGACTTTATAAAGATTTCCACCGAAAATGGGACAAAAAAATGAGAAATAAAATACATCCAGGACGTTATCTCCCCTCAGATATTATTGAAGCCAATTGTTTTAATTATGGGAATTGATGACACGAATAAAGAAAATAAAAAAAAGGTGACCTAATTATGAAAATTTTAGTTTTTCAACTTCTTATTTTGAAAATTCGCCATTGTAGGCATTGCGAAGAATACTTTATCCTAAACGTTCTCAAAAATAGTCCGAAATGAAAAATTTTGGTGCTTGATAAATTGAAATTAGTTGATTAGGAGGTGAGTTATGTATAATCAAAACGGTAAAACACGAAAAAAATCATCTGCCACAGAGCTTACACGACTGTCATATGACAGTCATAAATTTGTAATACGTCAAGAAAAAAATGGACGGCCATTTTCACATCTTTAGTTAACACTGTATAGTGTGAAATCAACATTTTTTATTTTCACGGGGTCAATAATATGATCAGCAGCGCTTTCACTTTAACGAACGCTTCGCTATTAATTTCACTCCTAAATCTGTTTGATTCTAACACCAAAATATTTCACCGCGTACACCGCGGACTTGAACACTGTCCAAAAATTTAATTACCGAAAATTCTCCCCGATTTTAATCAGCTTAAAACGGAATTAACACCGTGAACTTTCCAGACAATTGTCCCAAAACTTTCCTCTCCAATTTTCTCATCCTCAAAGAAAATAAAAATATTCTCCCAAAGTTGTGAAAATTTGATTAACTGCTCACCGGCATGGATTCAGGCGTATGATCCAGCACATATATTCCGTTGGTGTAACTGTACAGCATTGTGTCCAGATCTGAAACACACGAAGACAGTGGTGAAAAGTTAAATTAGTTTGACTGGAGTAACGGACGTACGGAGGCCCTGCAGCACTTTAGTGCAGGAAAGGCTAACTAGAATTGTTGCAGATTGTTTGATAAATATAACACACGTAGAAGTGTATGTATGACGTATAGCTGAGGGGAGATGGAGCTATGACCGCAGTGCATCAGCGGAAATACTCCAGAGGTTTCTGTATGATGTTCCATTTCCCGACGCTTCAATCTACAAACACTGGTTGAGACTGAAAAATACTTGGGAATAAAGTTTGTTGTGTTTTCATTACTTGTATTTTCTCGGAAACTTCAACGGCATCGTTGGGAAATCAAGACATTTCTCTGTTATTTCAGGGGGATTGGGGGTGAACAAAAATGGAGAGAGCAACTTCTCAATTCCACTGGTGGTTTAGGTCTGAATGGGGGTTTCGGTTACTAATAATTGGATAAAGTTGGCCTGCAATGAATGCTTGTTTTGAATGTTCATTTTTCATTCGTCTCGCCTCTAGTTGATCATTTCGATCGATGTGAATGGAAGCATTAATACTCGTGAAAACTTTGAGATGTTACGCTTGACCCGTTAAAATTTATTTTGTACTGTATTTTCTCCCAAAAAATTGTTTAATTTTTGTAATGTTATTTTTTGCTTGCATTTTCTCGGAAAAAGAAAAAGGAAATTTCAGGATATTTTCCAGTCTAAGTCGAATCCGACATAGCTCTCCTGAAAATGACTACTAAGCTGTCCATAAAATTTCAATTTGTTTGTAACAATGGGATTGCGAGAGGAATATACGTGCGATTGTGTGATTCCGATAATTGCGAAACCAAATGAACACAGAGCACTCTTTAGTGCCAATGGCAGAAAAATACAACCAAAAACCCAAAAATAAAAGTTCAAAATAAAAAACATCGTAATTTTTTCATTCGTTTCCCCCAATTTAGTGGCAAAAGATCCACCTAAACGGTAATAAATTGAATTTCAATTTCCTACAGAATGAATTTTAGTTTCTGAGCATTCACCAAATTGAAATACACAGAGTATATTCTATTGCCAAATCCTCTTTCCTGTGAATTCTCTGAAAATCCTCCTGGAAAATAGAAATACCGTGTCACTTCATTGGGCGATTCGCGACAATCCCAGTGAGTTGTACTATAATATTTCCACAATGTCGAGCAACAAGCCACCAGTGGCTCCTACCTCGAGAGAGGATCAGATCTTGATGGCGTGGGTATTTTACGGAGCCTTGTTGCCACGTTGCATTAAACACACCAAACACAAACAATATCTCTTTAGCCCTGGAAAAATATTTATGATATGATGCACTTTTAGCATCGGAAAATCCATTAGATCGCAAACGAAACCGGATAATGCACTGAGAAAAAAAAAGTTTTGTGATCAATACCTCTTTACTTGTACAGTGTAAAAAATTTGCGTCGGAATTTTCCGTGCCAAATTCCGGGAGTTTTTATCGTGTTCAAGTTTCACTGAAATTTCAGGAAATCTGATTATTGAAAATTCACAATTTCATGGAAAAATCAAACAGAACTGTAAATTCTTGTTCCATTTTTCCCTGAAAATAAATAGAAACCTGAAAATTCAAGAATATATTCACCAGAATTTTCAGGACAGTGACACTGAATGGGATTTAGGGGGAAAAAAATCATGAAATTTCAGATTTCACTGAAAATTCAATGTAATTTGACAGTGAATATTCATGTTAGATTGCAAATTCAAATAAATTAAGGAATTCTCGTCTTTATGTCGCTTAAAATTCTGGAATTTTACTGAATTTTTAGTGAAACCTGAAATTTCATGATTTTTCCCCCCTAAATCACATTCAAATCACTCTCCTAAAAATTGGTAGTNCCTGGGTTTTTTGCCCAAAAATCGACATCTACGCACATCTACGGAACATCTACGGAACATCTACGCTATTCCGTAGAAGGTAAATCGCCAGGGTAACTGGCTATGAAATTTCATTTTTTTTCTAACAGTGTATGAAGAAACTCAAAGCTCCAAAATTGATACGAAGAAAATATCTCATACTGGGAAAAGAAACCTATCGTCAAGTGATTTTGTATTTGCCTGAAAAAAGAAACGATTTTTGGAACCAAGTCAAGTTATTTTTGCATTAAAATATTTAGCATTTGAGACTTGAAAACTATTTAATAAATTGATTCAACTAGACTTGGTTCCAGAAATCACTTTCTTATCATAAACCAATTAATCTTGTCTTTGGGACAAGGACAAAATCTCTTGACGAAAGCTTTGTCTTTCTCAGTGTAAGATTAGTGATGCCGCAGGACAAGACAAGACAAGACAAGACAAAAATTACGTATTTTTTGTCTGGTGTGCTTCCAATTGGCCGGAGAGAATTCGTCTTTTGTCTTGTTGCATATAAGCAAGAGAAAAACAATTTTTGTCTTGTCTTGCGTTCTCTTGTACTGCTCGACAATTCTATTTTTCAATTCCGTGAGATTAACAAATTGAGTTTTCCTCGTTGGGCTCATCATTAGTTGACAATGTGTACATCCAGTGTTCAATCAGAACAGTTGTTTTCAAAAGCTGGTCTTATCATCAGAAAACACTGGAGTTCTCATCTCCACTAGCTCCAATAATGAAAGATGTGCTATTCCAGAAGATTAATATAATTGACTAATACATTATTCCTAACAATATCCAGGGATAGATAAAATGTTATATAACAAGATGGCCTTACATATTATTTATGACTTGAGAGTTTTTGACGAATTTTTTTATTATTTTTCTCTTGTTCCATACCTCTTTTTTTCCCTTGCCTTTTGTGAACTTCCCTATTGTCTTTTCTCTTCATGAAGCTGGAAAACATCTTCAACTAATGTTTAACAAATGGCTTGCAATTGTGAAGATGTCCTGATGAAATTTCGTCATGCGGAAGAGCAATGTCAAAAGACCTTTTGCAGGAAATCTCCTTAATTACAACTAAAGCATTTCAACATTTCTCCCAGAGATCAGTCTCTTCCGTGGTAATTCCACAATTAACTAAAAGTTCATGCTGAATTTATCACGCTCCTCGATTTTAATACAGAATTAATGAACAGAAATTGATATTGAACCAGAAAATTGTGCATTCGGATGGTAATATTTTCAAATAACGTTTTCATGATCTCAAATTGATATTGAACCCGCGGAAATTGCTATTATTCATGGCAACACGTGTAAAAAGCGGAATACTCTCTGTTTTCCGATAGTTATCTCTATGGAAATTCCCTCGTTTTTTCTCAACGTTTATTCGACATTTCGCTGAACCGAACACACGCTGTAGCCCTCCTATTTCCATTGAAACATAAATCCCCTGAAAACTGATAGAAGTCAATGATGGGAGTATAAAGTTACGATGAAATTCAATGTAACAATGTTTCGTTCACTCGCTAGTCTCGATAATACATTTCTACTTTGTATTTATTGACCCTGCAGCAACTGGAAAAATTGAAATGGGAAAATATTGTCAGTTTCATCTATTCGGTTACTCAGGTCAGAAATGAATTGTGTTGAGCAGGGATGTTTACATGCAGTTCATTTTGTAAATATCTGGAATAGCCATCAATATTAATTTCCTCCATATTAAAAGGATTTTTCCGACTTACATAGATCAAGGTTTAAATATACTAATAGGAATTTCAACAGAGTAAAATAATTCATAAACTAAATTCTCAATTGATGCACGGAGAGAAATATTCAGTAAAAATTACAGAACAATTCACGTAATCCCCAATGGAGAATAGTTTTCCGGTAATTTTTACATGGAGAAACGAACCCCCGTCCAGAAACTGACCTGTTTATCCTACACGGAGAGAAATTTTCTAGAAAAATTCTAGTACGAGTACTGGAAAAAATCACAATCCACCGGCTGTGAAAAATTCTAGTGTTGTTAAGGTAAAATTTCTTCGCATTTCTGGTAAAATTTCGGGGGATTTCTGTGAAATTTACACAGAAATACGGGGAAAAATTCACGTTTTCCCCAATAAAATTTCTAGTGCCGGCACTGGAATTTTTTCCTGGCCGTCACTTTGTGCCTCTTTTCCCGTTCTAGCACTAGAATTTTTCTAAAAAATTTCTCTCCGTGGCTACAATCGCGGTTTATCGGGCCTAATGACATAAATTGTTTTGAATGAATGTAAACTCCCAATTAAATTTAATGCAAAAATGTTTACATCGTCACGGCACATCCCCTCAAGGTCCTTACTCCCTCTGTAAATTGCTACTGCGATAAAACGGACTCGCCCCTGTTTTTAACTCTAACTCGTATTTCGCTCCATTTTCTACCCTTCATCCTCTCTTTTTTCTTACTTTTCACTTCGTCGCGCCCCATCTACTTTGAATCTCATTAAGCGAGATAACTTTTCAGCCGGACGGCCCGGCCGATTTAGTTTTCTACCTATACCTGTATATATTTCTCCTCACTCGACCGGGTGTAGACGAAACGGAGGAGGGCGCGAGAGTGATTCAAGCTTTTCCGCTCGGCAGGAAATGGCGAGAATGAAATTATCATATCCTCTTCACCTACTCGACTTGTAGACTAGCTGGAGCCTTTCCTGTCAGTTCGTGTACGATAAAAAATAATGAACACATTCTGCTTCACTCAATTGCTCTCGCACGCTTATCGCTGCACATGACCTATATTCGAGAGGGGAAAAAAGTAAGGGCACGACGAAAAAATGCAATTGAGACATTAAAAAGAATGAATTATTATTGCGACTGAATCAATGGTTGACTTTATTTCATAAAAATAATTTGAGGGACAAAATCAGATGTTTTACGTCCAATTTGGAGTTTAATTTTTCTGGTTATTTAGATTTATCAAAGTTAGAACGAATTCAAAAGTTTTTTCATTAGACATTTTTTATGTTTTGATAGATTAGGGAGAGTAGGGTAAAACGGGGTTTTAAAATCCTCACACTGAGAGAAAAATCTGATGTTCGATTTACTATAAGAAAATAG